TTCGTGCCCGGGTCCGACGACGACAAAGAGCCGCGGCGGCGCCCCGATGATGCAACCGTCCACAAACCGCACCGGCACGCGCGCGCCGTCAAACAGCGACGCCATGGCCCTCGCCGACGCAGGCGCCACGGCGTTGAGGTCCACGTAGTACAGCGGCGGCGCGTCGGCAGGCCTCTCGCCCGTCGCCACCAGCAGCAGGGCATCGACGACGCGCTGGGCCGTGGCGCGGGCGTCGCGCGGCGGCACGACGGAGAGGACGACGGCGGCGGAGGCGACGAGCTCGGCGTCCGAGGCGACGAGCTGGATGCCGGCTGCGCGGGCGCGGGCCGCCGTGTCCTCGCTGCGGCCGGCAATGTTGGTCGTGACCGTGAAGCCCTTGGCGAGGAGCAGCTTGGCGATGCCGACGCCCATGTCGCCGATAGAAAGGATCGCTACGGCCGAGGGGGCCATGGCTGTCTTGATTCGGGATTTTTCTTTACTTTTGCTAGCGCTGAGCACTGAGTTGGGTTGAAGATGGATTTTCATCGTTGCTGCGACTCTCCCTCGCTGTCCCCAATCGAAGGAAGCGGGGTGACGCCATCATTCGTAGCCAGTGCCATCATGCCGAAGTCGGCCATCTTGCGGTAACGTTCCGATCGTCAAGGCAGATAAGGTGACTGCGGCGCAAGGAACATGCGTGACAATGACTCTCTTGTCAACTTGATCGTGGCATTCAAGAGCTACGTTGGTACCTTGTCCACACCGAAGCGGAGGCCTACTGTACACAAATACATGCCCTCTATGATGGAAGAGGAACCTCAGCTCTCAGACGCCGCCCCTACTCGGTCGCCCACCGTGAATGCAATGCAGATCTGCGCAGGCTACTAAAGCCGGATAGATAGAGCGGAGAAGACGAAGGCGAGCAGACATTCCTGTGCATGACCTTGCCGTGAAAGCTGAGGCTGTCACACCTCCCCTCGCTGCCGCTGCTCCTTCATCGAGCAGCTAGGCTCGCCGCTGTCTTGCGCTCCAACGCAAACCTCCTCTCACCAGCGCCCGCCTTCTCGCTCGGCTTCAAGCCGGCGCATCCTGTCCTCGTCGTCACCGCCCACCGTCTCGCTTCGTCGCCCTTTACGCCGACTCCGCTTGCCCTCGTCGCCATCATCACCACCGCCCCGCCCGCGCTTCGACCCTGCGAGCGACGCGAGCCCGGCCATGCGCTGCGTCTCCCGGAGAAGCCTCTCTCTGTCGCGCGCCTCGCGCTCCAACGCGTGCGGGTCTTTCGTCTTGCTGGCGCCGCTCGTCGACTCGGGACCCGACCTGGGACCGGTCGGCGGGTTGAACCCCTTGTCGGTCGAGTTGGACGGCTCAACAGATTGCTTCCGGCTGCTACGGTGTCGGTCTTTATCGCGCCGCCGTCGGTCGCGGTCCTTGTCTCTGCTGTCGCGGTCCTTCTCACGATCCCGGTTGCGATCGCTCCGCTCCCGGGCATCATGCTCGCGATCCCGTTCCCTGTCGCGGTCACGGTCGCGGTCACGGTCTCGGGGGCCGCGATCCTTATCCCTGTCGCGTTCACGATCGCGGTCACGGTGAGAGCGTCGACTAGACTTGTGGCGGTGATCGTGCTCCTCGTCGTCGCGATGCCGCTCTTTCTCACGCTCGCGATCGCGGTCCTTGTCCCGGCGGCGGTCGTCGCGGTCCCGGCGGCTGCGGTGGCCAGATCGCTTCGATTCAGCAGGCGAAGCCGACCTCGTCCTCTCGCCGCCGTTATCGCCATCCTCATCCTTGAAGCGCGATCTGGTGTCCTCCTCGACATCGTCCTCCTGCTTTCGGCCCTTATGCCGGTGGCGGCGGTGGTCATCCGTACGCTCATCACCTGATCGTGACACGGAACGGTGGCGTCGGCGCCGGTGTCGCTGATCAGTCCTGCGATTGTGGTCACGGTCGCGGCTACGACTACGACTGCGACTGCGACTGCGGCTCTTGCTAGCAGTCCGAGAAACGGCAGCTTCCGGAGGCGCAACGCCGTTCTCGTGGTCGGGCTTGCTGTCGTGGTCCTCTCGTTGGCGGCCTCTGCTGCTATCACGACGACTGGTCGTGTCTTGGGTCTGCTGATCCTTGACCTGGGCGGCTGATGCGCTGCGTGACCTGTGTCGGTCCTCACGCGGGCTCGGCAGCCCCGTACCGTTCACAGAGGTGCTACGGTCGCGCTCATCCTCGACCTGGTAGCCGAGCGCGCGCAGGTTGTGCATGCTCGTGTTAGGCAGTCCGCGGCGCATGGCCTTGGGACCGGTGGGCGCATTCAGCGGCACGTCTGGCACGGGCGGCGTGTACACGCCCATCATCTGGTCAGGGCGGCCATGTGGCATGTTACCGTAGCCGGCAGGCCCGTAGCCAGCAGGCCCGTAGCCCCCGGCCGATGCATCACCACTGTAAGCAGCGGATGTTCCGTTGCCTACGACGTTCTGGCCAGAGGTCTCCTGCGAGGCTACGGCGGTTCCTTCGCCCTTGCTAATGGGATTGCCAGCCTCGTCATGCTCTGTCGCATCTTGGCCGGTCTTGGTCGCGCCTGCTGCGCTCTGTTCCTGTGAGTCTTCAGCTCTGATCTCGCGTCCAAACTCGTCAACATTGGCTGCCTGTGTCTGGTTGCCTTGGCTGTCGCCAGCACCCGAGCTCTGTGCTGCCCCGGCTTGTCCGTATTGCTGCTGCTGTTGCTGCTGCAGCTGTTGTTGCTGCATGCTGTCGTAGGCAGAGGCCTGGCCATACTGTTGATAGCCGCCGCGGCCCTGGCCACCGTAAAACCCGCGGCCTCGTCCGCGTCCTCGGAACCCAAAGTTGTTGTTGGCGTTGCGACGGTAGTCATTGTGGCCATAAGCACCTTGATTGTAGCCTGGCTGGAATCCAGAGTTATATGCTCCAAAGTCACCCGATCCCATGCCAGCAGCACTTGCAGAATTGTAATTATCTTGGCCGAAATTCCATGACTGCTGTCCGTTCCAGTTATTGGAGCCCGAACCGTAACCACCTCCGAAGCCTCCCATCCCCATGCCTTGAGGGTTGAAGCCGCCGTTCATGTACATGCTCTGCATCGCCATGGGGTCCATGCCCATGCCCATTCCTGGTGAGGGTCAATACACAAAAGAACAGGTTGAGTGTGAGAGGGAGAGAGAGGGGGCAGGGGGTGCAAATGTGACTTACCCATCATGGGAAATGAGCCAAACGCGTTGGGCGCCATTCCGTTCTGCATGGCCATCATCATTTGCATCTGATTATAGTCGCCGCCATTGCCAAAGCTCATGTTGAACCCTCCGTTCATCATATTCTGGTTGCTGGCCGTGTCGTCCGCCTCGGCCTGGTCGCCGCTCCTCTCGGCATCTGCATCGGCTTCGCCTTCAGTAGCAGTCTGAACCGCAGTTTCATCGATAGCGTTCTCGTCATTCTGTGTTGCGACCTCTTGTGAAGCACCGGCAGTGTCGGTGTCGGAATGTAGATGGCCGCCAGCCGGCTGTTCGATAGAAACACCGTCCTACGAGGCATTAGCATCTTATCATAGACTGTGTGTCATGTCCTGGGTGAAGTACCTGAGTGAAAGACGCGGCAGCATTTGATGCCGTCGGGGCCGTCTCCGTTTCCGTCGACTGCGTCCCGTCACCAGACTGCACAGCGGCGCCTTGACTCGACAGCGCAACACCGACAGGCGCGGCAGCGTTGTTCATGTCGAGCGCCACGTCAACAGCAGGCGACTGCGAAGCGGTAACAGGCAGCGACACAACGGGTTTCGCATCGACCGGGGTCACGGGCGCCGAGTCCCGGGCATCTCTTTTGGCCTTTTCCTCGCGCTTCTTCTCCCGCGTGCGCAAAAAGACGCGGATCGTCGTGCGGTGGGACTTGTGCGGCGTGCAGTCCTCGGCGGAGACGGGCGAGTGCTCGCATACTGGACAGGCCGATGGCAGTGTTGTCTGGCCTGTGGAACGGTTCGTCGTCAGTAAAGCAGGAGAGGGACAGCCGGTGGGAAAGCAGGAGCCGGGGACCGAGCAGGACGGAGGACTCACAGTTCTCGCATATGGCTTGCTCACAGCAGGGCAGACGATAGGCGTTAACGGCCAGCTTGCTACAGATGGCGCATCGCAGCTTCGTGGGGATGTCTTCGGGTGCGAGGGAGCTGGTGACGGGGAGAAGACGAAAGGTCAGCGCGAAACACAGGCGACGGCGAGGACAAGAGAAGGAAGAGACATACCTGATGAGCTCTGCCTGCGCAGGTGTGATAGTGGTAGCCATGCTGCCAACACAGAAGGGCGGGGTGGTTACCCGGTGGTCGGTCGCATGGGTGGGGTTTGTTTGAGCTGGGGATGGGAAATATTCAAGTGCTATTCGGAAGGATGGTGGTAAAGGGAAGAAGAAGAAGATGTTGCCTAATGGGGACACGAGGCAATCTGGATTCAGCCGAGGATGCCTAAGTCCATGTTATGGCGAAAGGCACCCGCCGTTCGATGTGGATTGGGATATTGTTGGGGCGGAGAGAGAGAGAGACGAGGAGGTTGAGGCTGTTGGTGGGAAGGATTTTGGGCAGTCGCAAGCGCAAGCAAGGTGACGTGAAGTGAGTAGCGACTGCCAGCGCTCGGATCTTTGAGGCGCGCGGAAAAGTATGAATTAAAGCGGGACGCGTTTCGGCTGGCCAATGAAACGGGGTCCATTTCGGTGGGGTTCGGTGAGCTCGGTGAATGTAGCATCCCAAAA